GGGGAGGAAAGGGGGCTGGTGAGGAAGAGGGGAGCGGAGTGGAGGGAGAAAGGGAGTAGATGTTAGAATGTCAATGATATTCCAGGGATTCCACCCCACAGGGAGTTACATCCGGAGTTACACCCAGTCCCTCTTGGCCGCTGTGTGCCCTCACAGGGCCAATGCTTCCTGTCGCTTGCCTCCTTTGAACAACTCTATGATGTGGGTACCGTTATTATTGCTATTTTACACATGAAGAAACTAGGGGGGGACAGAGGTGAAGTAACTTGCCCCAGGTCACAGTGTGGAATCAGAACACACCTATCTAGACAGAGCCAAGCCCTCTAGAACTCAGGTGAGGCCACCTCTTGCCTCTAGTCCAGGGGTGGGCAAACTTTCTGACTCGAGGGCCACAATGGGTTCTTAAACTGGACCGGGGGGCCGGAACATAAGCATGGATGGAGTGTTTGTGTGAACTAATATAAATTCAAAGTAAACATCATTACATAAAAGGGTACGGTCTTTTTTTTTTTTTTAGTTTTATTCATTTCAAGCGGGTCGGATCGGGCCCGCGGGCCGTAGTTTGCCCACGGCTGCTCTAGTCTATTTACTCTGACCATCTCTGACCATCTTCACAACAGAAGGGTGAAAGCCAAGTTTGCTGGGCAGTGGAGCCTAGACTCAGTGAGATCATTAGCATGTGTTCATTTACTTTATTCCTAGTCACCCACACCACCCCCAGTACCCCCCGCTTCAGTGATTTGCAGGAAAACTCTCACCACTTAGCCTGTAGTCCTACTGGCAGCTGTGACTTGGGATCACAAAGGGATACAAAGCGGAATCGGCAAAGAGAAGAGGCACAAGCGATGAAGCCCAGGACAAGCCGGGCTCAAGCTTCCAAGAAGTGTCTCTCAGTAGAGTCACTCGGGATGGTCTTAATTGCCCCGACGATGAGTTGTGATAACACATGTGAAATATTGTCTGCCAGGGAAGCTCATTAGAGACCTAGGGCCCAGGGGTTTTTGTCATGTAGGCCCCTCTGCCTAGCACATACCAGAATTCCAGCCTCTCAGAGAGAAGGCAGGTGTTCAGCTTGAACCATGTTGTTTGCACACACAGTTCAGTGTTAGCCACGCTTCCCAGTTAGGGTGGTGGACACCCTCCAAGACCTAGGTTCCCAGATGCCAGCGAAGAGCCCATCTTGCAAGCAGGCCTTTCTGAGGGTAGCGGTTTCATGCCTGTTCCGTCAGCTCTTCTCTGCACATTTCTTCTGTTCCTGAAAGAAATAGTTTTATTGGGCTGAAGTTTGAAGTGTTGCACTCAAATAAGATTCTATCTAAAAGCATCATGTTAACTTGCTGGCGTTTTATGTAAATGATGTCACCGAGTGGTTCACTCACACTAAGCGCAGGCATTTTGGCCAGGCAGAGAAAGGGCCTGCAGAGGAGGAGGCTATGACTGCCTGTCATCCTACGCCCTGTGGAGCTGATGGACAGAACTGGGGCCATTGTTGACAGCTCGTTTGCACACCTGTGCACTGCCTCCCAGGGGGAAGGGAGGAGGATTTGCCAGGAAGCCTTTCGTTGCCTTATTTCCCTGAAGCACCGTGTGGTAGACAAAATACTAAGATGGCCCCAAGATTTCTCCCCACTGGTCTGCACGCCCTGCATAATCCCTCCTCTGAGTGTGGGCGGGAACTGTGAGTAGGACGGGATAGTCATTCCTTTGATATATTGTGTAATGTACAGAAGGGAGATTACCTTGGATAAGCCTGACCAAATCAGGGGAGCCCTTTAAAAGCAGAGAAAGAAATCAGAGAAGAGCTCCTACTGGTCTCAAAGAAGAATCAAACTGGTATGTTGTGAAATGTCCGTGAGAGCCACACCATCAAAAATACCCATGGGCTCTCAAAAGTGAGAGTCACCCCAGCTGATAGACGGCAAGGAAATGGAGATGTCAGTCCTGCAACCACAAGGAACTAGGTTCTGTCTTCACCAGATGCCTCTGAGGTCCAGATTCAATCACAGCTCAGCTGGCCCCTTGATTTTAGCCCATTGAGACCCTGAAGAAAAATTCCAGCCAGCTTTGCCTGCACTTCTCACCTACAGAACTGTAAGGTGATAAATGGGTGTTGTTTTACGCTGCTGTGGTTAATTCTCTCGGCAGCAGTAGAAAGCTAATACACCCAGAAAAGTAACAACCCTGGATCTTGGCCTTCGGTGGCTCTTACTTTAATAGCATACACGAGTGCTTTGAATTCTCTGATCTCCCTGGCTATCACCAAGGAGCTCTGGAAAAGTGAAAAGTGATTAGACTACATGCTTAGGCTGTAAATTCACAGCATCTTATCTGAAACATGACCAAATGCAAAATGTATGTGCAACAGCAAACAGACTCTGAGAAGGTACAGTCAAAGCATAGCTAACCTGATGTGGAAACTGTTACAAAGCTGGTTACTTTCCTAATTACATTGTATGGTTTTGCTGAGGAATTAAAACAAGAAAGTTAAACAGAAAACCATGCCCCAGAGAATGAGATTAAGAAAGCACCCATCAACTAAATTGTTGATGAAGCGCATAGCCATGATTTAAATAAAGTTGTGATGGAAGGGGGACAGTTTGCAGGTGGCCCCAGAGAATGAGATTGAGAAAGCACCCATCAACTAAATTGTTGATGAAGCGCATAGCCATGATTTAAATAAAGTTGTGATGGAAGGGGGACAGTTTGCAGGTGGCCCCAGAGAATGAGATTGAGAAAGCACCCATCAACTAAATTGTTGATGAAGCGCATAGCCATGATTTAAATAAAGTTGTGATGGAAGGGGGACAGTTTGCAGGTGAATACAATTAGAGACCGAGCACCATGTTCTGCCCACATCTCTTCACAAATTCTTTGTGCTCTGAAGGATAGAAATGGCTTTATCTAAGGCAGTGGT